TGGTGACAGGATGGAAGAGAGGGAGGAGGAGGAGAGGACGAACATAAAGACGAGGAGGAGAGGAGGAGGAGGAGAGAAAGGAGGGAACGGAGGGAGGAGTGTTTGCGATAGAGCCTTGCGGCCTGGCCTTGCTTTCCTCATAATGGAAGTCCCAAGATTTCTGCTCCCTTCCTTTTCCTTATCGCGTTCCTCATCTTTTCTCCTCGTCAACCACCTCGGCCTCCTGCTGCTCCTGCTCCTGCTCCTGCTCCTGCTCCTGCTCCTGCTCCTGCTCCTGCTCCTGCTCCTGCTCCTGCTCCTGCTCCTGCTCCTGCTCCTCCTGCTCCTCCTGCTCCTCCTGCTCCTCCTGCTCCTCCTGCTCCCCGTCATCGTCTGATCGCCTCGCTCCCCACAGATACGGCAAGGACTCTGTGCATTCCAACTTCTACATCAACGAGGAAGGGAGGGCCGAAGTAAAGCTGACGGTGCCGGACGAGCTCGCGCCGCGGAAGATCCGTTTCATACCCTTCCATATGTGCGAAGGGAAGGAGTCGACCAAATTTTGGTTCAAGAACTCGGGAGAAGGAGACTTCGAGGCCTACGTCTGTCCAGACGAGTGGAAATGTCAGATCCAAGGGAAGTGTACTGACAAGGAGAAGAACTTCTTCACCAAGTGGTTCTCGAAGCCCAGACAGGTGAGGGGAGGATGTAAGGGAGAGGAGGGAGCGGAGGGGTTGAGGATGAGGTTGATAGAAGAGAGAAAGGAGGAGAGGAGAGGAGGAAAGGAGGAAAGGAGAAAAGGAGAAGAGTTCGAGAGGATCAAGGGGAGGGGAGAGGAGGCGAAGTGGAAGAGGAGGGACTGGAACGCGTTGATAAGATTTCGTCCGTCTCCTCTTCTCACACCTTATTCTGCAGCCCTCGGCTGAAGTCCTTGAGGTCTCGGAGTCGTCACGGGAGCCCTCCCCTCCCCGTGAGGAGCCCTGGCACTGGACTCAGAAGAGCGCGGAGGTCTGCGAGCCTTTCAAGCTGAAGCTGCAGCGATCTCCGTCGGAGGAGAAGAGGATCGAGGAGGCGGCAAAACGAGCTGCAGAGATGAAGAAGGTGCTGGACAGGAGGAGGGACGACAGAGAGTACGTGAAGCTCTCAGTTATGATGCCCCTCGATGCGCACAAGTGGCAGGTGGGTGTAGAGGAATACTTCGCTGCTTCCCTTCCCTCTGCTCCGCTCTGCTCTGCTCTGCTCTGCTCTGCTCTGCTCTGCTCTGCTCTGCTCTGCTCTGCTCTTTTCTGCTCGGTTTCCCTGCCTTCTTGTGTTATCCTCTCTTGTCTTCCTCTCTCCTGTCCTGTCCTGTCCTGTTCTGTATCCTCTGTCCTCTCCCCTCCTCTCCTCTATCCTCCTTTCCCCTCTTCTCCTCTTTACTCCGTCGTCTCGTCTCTCTTTTCCCATCCTGGCTTCACTCTCTTCCTCCTGACAGCTGCACTGCAGTTGTCCAGTTTGGAAAGAAGGTTCAAACGCCTCAAAACGCGGGCGTGCATGGCGTGATGTGCGATATCTGGTGGGGGCTGGTTGAGCAGCAGCCAAAGAAATATGATTTCAGGTTACAACCTGTACCTTGTTGTTTGTATTCACAAGGGGACAACGATCTCGTTTCATCTTTGATGTCAGAACAGCTTCGTTGTATCTCATCTTGGTCACACATCTTATGATTGTTGGGAATGTTCGTGTCTCGCCCTTGTGCATGATTGTTGCATCTGTTCGTTGCGTGTTTTCCTTCACCTCCTCCTGTGTCTTTGTTCAAAGGACTTCTTCACCCTCACGTCTGCTATCTCACTCACTTTGCACTCTCCAGTTTCTACCGCTCAATGGCCGAGGCAGCTCAGCGGCAGGGGCTTGAAATCGAGTTCGTCATGTCGTTTCATAAGTGCGGAGGAAATGTAGGCGACAACGTTTACATCCCCTTGCCGAAATGGATTCTTTCTCATGCTCACAAAGCTGGACTCTCTTCAGTCTTCTACACTGACAGGTGAGATCACGATGGAGATGGATGGAATCAAGGAGATGGAGAAACGAAGGAAGGATGATGATGATGATGATGATGATGATGATGATGATGATGATGATGATGATGATGATGATGATGATGATGATGATGATGATGATGATGATGATGATGATGATGAGGATGATGATGATGATGATGAGGAGGAGGAGGAGGATGAAGCTTGGGGGATGAAGCTTGGGGGAGGAGGAATGTGGGGAGGGGAAAGGGGAAGGAAGAGAAAGTGGAGAGGATTATGGACATCATGGAGATGGAGAAAATGTTGTAGAATGTGAAGTGCATGTCTCTGATGACGTCGGGTGCTGCAACGATGATCCTGCCCATGACAAGGATCTCAAACTTTCCTCCTTCCTCACAACCTCGCAGGTGGGGCTTCTCCAACGACGAGTACATCTCAGGAGCAGCGGATACTACTCCCCTCGTCGACGGCAGATCCCCGGTCGAGATGTACGCCGACTTCATGCAAGCCTTCGTCGACAACTTCCTGGACCTTTTCCACATCGTCATTTCCAAGGTCCAGATCGGCCTCGGCCCCGCCGGCGAGCTGCGGTACCCCTCCTTCCCGCTCTCCAAGTGGTGCTACCCGGGCGCTGGGTCGTTCCAGTGCTATGACAGGAGCATGAGGGAAGGGTGGGAGAAGCACTGCAGGAACGAGCTGAAGAAGAGCGTGTGGGCCCACAAGATGCCCGATGACGGGGGATACAACGCTGACCCCCAGAACAATCACTTCTGGAGCAGTGAGATCCACTCCGACTATGGCAAGGTGAGAGCCTGCTGGTGGTGCTGCTGCTGGTGCTGCTGGTGCTGCTGCTGGCGCTGCTCTCTGCTCTCTGCTCTGTGCTCCTGCTCCTGCTCCTGCTCATGATGCTTCTGTTGCTCCTCGTCCTGGTCCTGGTCCTGGTCCTGGTCCTGCTCCTGCCTCTGCTCCTGCCTCTGCTCCTGCCTCTGCTCCTGCCCTTTCCCTCTTCTTTCTCCTGCCTCGCTTCCTCCTCACCTATATGCTGCTCCTCACTGTCCCTCAGGCCTTCATGAGCTGGTACTCCAACGCTCTCATCCAGCATGGGGAGCGAGTCCTCAAGCGAGCAAGCAGCATCTTCGCTCCTCTCGGCGTCGAGATCTCCGGCAAGATCGCAGGGCTGCACTGGCTGTACAAGACTTCCCACCACGGCGCCGAGTGCGCGGCTGGATACTACAACACCAACAACCAGGACTGCTACAGCAACATCGCCCGCATGCTGCGCTCCTGCGGCGCGACCTTCGACTTCACGTGCATGGAGATCAAGACCGGCCGAGACGACTGCCCGCCATACTACAGTGACCCGGAGGCGCTGGTATGGCAGGCGAAGAGGGCGGCGGAGGGGAACGGGATCAAGTTGGCCGGGGAGAACGCGCTTACGGTGGACGAGTGGGAGGCATACGACATGATCCTGAAGAAAGCGTCTTTCCTCGACTCC